AAAAAAAAAAAAAAAAAAAAAGAGTGCAGGGCAACACTTCACCCGTAGCAGCCCAAGAGGAATGCCCATCTACCACCCAAGTACAAGGCAGACCAGCTGGGAAGGTCCCAAACGTGCCAGGAGAGGCCCGGAGGTCAGGCACCACCTTGTGCCATGGACGAGGGGATGCAGAACAGCAAGCAGCCCCAGGCACACACGCTCCATGATGGACAAGGGCGGCCCACTGACCTTCCAGTCTCCTCTGGCCGGGAAGCTCTCTAGTGGCTCCCGTGGCCCACGGTTGGTCACTGTGGTCCCTGTCCACTTGGTACTTGGCTGGGTCATGGTCTGTCCAAAGAGCACAGCTGGGCCAGGCCATCCTGGACCACACTGTACAGGACGCCCGGGCTAACTGCTAAACTCTCGGAGGCGCCTTTCCTTGTGTGCTTTTGCAGGATTACATGTCTGATGACTGTGCCGGGCTATGAAGGTGAAGGCCTGGGACCCAACCGGTGTGCAGCAAACTCTGGTTTCACCCCCACCTGGCGGGCACGTGAGTCAGAGGACGAGACCCTCAGGGCCCTAACCCAGGCACCAGACTGCCTGGAACTTGTGCCCAAAGCCAGAGAACACTGATGAGAAGGGAAGAGCCTCAGCTGGGGCACAGGACTGTGGTCACCCTGGAAGTGGTCCCTCATATCAGCCAGGTCAATAACCTTCTCAGAAACTTGACCTCGATTTTGTCATCCAGGGTCTACAGAACCCAGGGCCTTGAGGGGTTGCCTTGGGCAAAGCTGTCCAAATAGCACACCCAGTGTCAGGATTCCGTATGAGGGAGGGGTGCTGGGCGCTGTGCTGTCTCATGCGAGGAGAGAGGGGGGCGGCCAGGTGAGGGGCTGCAGGCCCCAGGACGCTCACCATCATGGCCTCCTGCACGGTCAGGTGTGGCAGCAGCATGTCGTCCTGCATGATGTAACAGGACACCTTCCGGAAACAGCGTAGGTCCCGCGGGAGGCCGTTGATGAGGACCTCACCCTTCATGCCCGTCTCCCTGCAAGACCAGTGAGAGGATGTGTCAGCCCGATCCCTCCTGCACCCCTTCCTCTTCCAGGGCCCGGGGAGGGGAGAGAGGACGGCCCCTCCCAGCATCTTCTCACTGGGCCAGTAGGGACACCAAGCCAGGCAGGGATGGGAGGCCCAGAACAGCACCAGAACTCAGAGAAGGGAACTGCACAAAGAAAACACTTAGCGTGGAAAGGGAGAGGCAAGCGTGGGGCCTCTCTGGAACAGCACATTCGTAACAGGCGCCTGTGGACCAAACCAATGGAGATACACACGGATGCTCCTACACGCAGCCACGAAGTCCCACGCACACCTCTGGCTTTGCAGGGTTTTATAAGATGGGTGTATGAACAATGTTATGTGCAGCCGAGGCTACACCAACCGCCCCAGAGGCCCCAGAGGCCAAGAGTCTTCAGTCTGGGGTGTGGCCACTACATCAGAACCAGTTCCTGGGGGTTGCACGACTATGATGCTGACTGGGAGGACCACTGCAGGCTCCCTGGGCTCGGGTGGCTCAAAGAGGAGGAGGACTGCGCCCTGAGCCTCCTCGGCCAAGCGATGGGAATCTGTTCTCTCTGACCACAGTGGAGGTGCGGCATCCTACGTGTACTGTGGAGATGGAAGGGCATGGCCCCACCAGCCACGCTCACTCCCTCATCCACAGACCCACTGGGCATCGCTATGGCCCGACACTCTTCTGGGTGCATCATCTCAGCCCAGGGACACAGTGGGAGCCATGGGCATCCTACTAAGGATCCCCGTTCTCCAGCCCTGCCTCCTCAATGCCATGAAGAACAGAAACACAGAGGGTCTATGGAGACCAGTGCAGTTATATCTGGTGTCCAACTTCATCCAGCCCATTGCTGTGACCGTGGGCCCTGTGGTGGGTCCCTTCTTTCCTCCAGGGAATGGGTGGGATCAACTGGTGTTCCAGGGAACCAGGCTGGGAGCTCAGTTGTCTCCAGGTTGCCCTCTGTGGCTCCAGGACGGCCACGTGCTGTGCAGTCTGGACAGCAGCTGAGGGTGTGGGATGATCTGAAAAATGGCTTCTCTCCCCTCCTGTGTCCCCAGCATGACACTGGGTGTTGGAAGTTTGGCTCTCACCTTTAGAAGTGAATACAACAGACAGGAATCTGCCATAAGTGAGACTTTTAAAAATCCTAATTTTCATCTTTAAAGAGTAATTCTGAAGTCCTAAGGAAGGGGGGGGGTGGAATTTATTTCTTTGCCAGTAAATGAACTTATTTTTAAAATGTATTTCCTAAAGTAGCAAGTGGAAGCCATGAGATCTGAAGAGGCTTTTAGAGAGCATTTTGTTAACACTTCTGAAGATTCAGCTTTCAAATCATCCTTACATGAATGCCACTGGACAGGGTGTCGAGAGCTGTGGTTTCCGAACGTCGGAGCAGCTAACGTGGCCACAAGCAAGAGTCATGTGAGCTCCGGGCCCCAGCCTGATGCTGCTGCTTTTCTTCTGAAAATGGCTCATCTTACCTTTGACCTTCATTCACACTCGTCTCAGCATTCTCCTGCCGTCCCCTCTCCAACCTGAACCTCTCCATTACTTCCTGTCCCATAAGGCCTGGCCCTTCTGCCCCAGGACCTCCCTCTCCTGAGCACAGCATCCACTCACCACCACTAGGTGACAACCAGCATGTGCTGCCTTCTGATGCCCCCAATGCCGGAGCTCTGTTCCCTTCACAGATTCCAAAGCCTCTTAATGTGAGACACCCCTCTGGCTTCCCGGGAGCCCGCCCAGAGCCTTAAGAAGTGACGGGATGGACCATTCATACCGTTGGCCCCTGGCTGACCACTGGGCGAGGGTCTGCTCACCTGTATCCGGCCAGGATGTTCATGAACGTGGACTTCCCAGCCCCGGAAGGACCCATGATGGCCACCAGCTCTCCACTGTTGAACTTCCCAGAAATTCCTTTCAGAAGGGTCTTGTATCCTGTGAAAAGCAGATCACATTCATTTTCAAACCAGGACTCACTGGTTTTGCCCCCAGCACTGCAGAGGCAAACACACAGTAGGCTTGGCTGCAGAACCAAGGCCAAAGCCAAGGTCTTTCACACCATAGTACAGCAGTCCCCAACCTTTTTGGCACCAGGGACTGGTTTCGTGGAAGACAGTTTTTCCACAGATGGCGGCGGGGGGGGATGGTTTCGGGATGATTCAAGTGCATTACATTTATTGTGCACTTTATTTCTATTATTATTACATTGTAATATATAACGAAATAATTATACAACTCACCATAATGCAGAACCAGTGGGAGGCCTGAGCTTGTTTTCCTGCAACTACAGGGTCCCATCTGGGGGTGATGGGAGACAGTGACACTCTAACTGTGTTGCTTATGTCCAGTCTACTCCATAAGAAGCAGCTTAATTGTCACTTGCCACTCACTGATAGGGCTTTGATGTGAGTGTGCAAGCAAATGATTTATGATGGTCTCTGTGCGGTCAAACCTCTCTGCTAATGAGAATCTGTATTTGCAGCCGCTCCCCAGCGCTAGCGTCACCGCCTCAGCTCCCCCTCAGATCATCAGGCATTAAATCTTTATAAGGAGCGCGCCACCTAGATCCCTCGCATGCGCAGTTCACAGTAAGGTTCGCACTCCTATGAGAATCTAATGCCCCAGCTGATCTGACAGGAGGCGGAGCTCAGGCGGTAACCCGAGCCATGGGGAGCGGCTGTAAATACAGATGAAGCTTCGCTTGTTCCCCTGCTGCTCACTTCCTGCTGTGCCTGGTTGGGGGGGGGGGGGTTGGGGACCCCTACTATAGTATTTATGAAAATGCTGAGTTCTGGGCAAGAAAATGGACCTCAGGTCTTTTGGAAGCCTCTGCCTACGTCCTCCATTGCATGCCATGCGTGTATCAGTGATAAGTACCAGTGCACGTACAGCGCTTTAGAGTTTACAAAGCCCTTTCGTGGACATCATCTAGGGTACGAGGACTCCACCATTCTCATTTCGGATTGAGGAACTGGATGTCCAGCGGGCCTGGGCGACTTGTCCAAGACCCCAGAGCCTGTGTGAACAGATCCTAACCCAGGGCTGCACCACCCACCACAATGGTCAACTCATGCCTTTATCAATTAAGTGATTAATTTATTATTTCATGTATGAATGTTCTATTTCTCATCTCTACCGGTATAAATTATTTGTATAGAATTTATTCACAAATCATTACTTTATAATTAAATGATTCATGTATTAATAATTCATTAATAATTAAAAGCTTATCATTTTGCACTTGCATCACATTGCTTTGGACTTTCTGCCAAATCTCCATCCGAGAGCTTTGTGAAAGGAAAAAAAACTACATATGCCAAATGGAGTCACATTACTTTTTCTCAAGCAGACTGTTCAAATGAGCCACAAAGAATCAAATAGAAGCAACTGGATTCATCTAAAGACTCCTAATTCAGAAACATTTTTCAGGGACTTCCCTGGCGGTCCAGTGGTTAAGACTCTGTGCTTCCACTGCAGGGGGGCACAGGTTTGATGCCTGGTCCGGGAACTAAGATCCCGTGTGCTGTGCAGCTCAGTTAATAAAATAAAATAAAAAATAAATTTAAAAAAGAAGAAACACTTCTCAGTCCCTGAGAAACATTCCAAGGACATACCCTTAAATGAACAGAATCGGGCAAAAGCAGTACTTTGGCTTCCCACGCAGAGCTGAAAGGGGCCTGATGAGGAAAGGGCCTGCGGAGCCCTCGACTGAGCCTTGGTCTTGGACTCTGCCCCTAGTCGCTCCCTAGACCCCCCCAAACCTGTGTGTCTACTCGAGCCCCAGCCTGGGTCTGGGGAGTCTTCTCCTAGCCGCCTCTCATCTTTCACAGATGGGACACCCTAAACACCCAGCCTGTCACCAGCTGCCTCCTTGATCTGGATGGCAAGTCCCTGAGGACCTTTGAATCAGGCAGAGAGAAGCAGAAGCGAAAGGCAGGAAGCACGCGGTCCTGCGACCTGACTCGTTACGGGGAGCGGCAGTCACCTGGGGAGACCTGAGACAGTCACCCCTGGTTGGGGGGCAAGGGCTGAGGAGCAGACAGACGGGGCAGGGGGGCCTGGGGCAGCAGCTCAGGACCACAAGCGAGTCAGACTCCTACCCCCGGGACGTGGGTGATGGCAGAGGTGGGCAAACACACAGCAGGGGAGCCCAAGGAGACCAGGGTTGGGGGTCGGGGACCCTGAAAAATCATGTCTGCCACATGGTGGACAGATGGAGGGAAGAACTGGGGGATAGCAGGGCCCCCTCCCTGCAGGGTCAAGCCCCAGCTTGGGCTCCCCATGGGATGGAGCTCTGCAGAGGGGGGCCAGGTGCTCCGGGCCCCGGGCCCAGGGGACCTGTGTGACATCACTGAGGGAGCACTAATGCCGGGCGTCTGCTCCTTGCTGTCCTCCTGGGGGTTCAGGAGGCATCGGGGTTACTCCAGAGCAAACCTTCCTTTAGGCTGTTCTGCCCCGAGTTCAGAGCCGATCCCCAGCTGGTCCCCTGGCAAGCGGGAGCCGCCCGGTTAGGGAAACGGATGGCTGAGGTGACCACTGGCCACTTAGAGGCCACGTGCAGCCTGCCCCTGGGTCATGACGCCTGAGGACAGCCTCACCTTGGGGATCTGAGGGGTCCGTTCCCTCCAGCAGGGCCCATGGGTGCTGCTTTCACTGTGACCCGTGGGCACCGGATAATAACACTGCCAGGGAGCTCCCACAGGCTGTGACACCCACGGCCAGGACGCCAGGAACAGACATGGGTCTGGGAGTTGGGGGAGCATCAGGCCTTTCAGGGGAAAAGGCGGGCAGACCGGGGTTATAGACCATGGTTTCGTCATTTACAGCCAGCAAACTGGAGTTGGGGGGCCTGGCTGTGGACCCCAGAGCTAAAGTGGCACACGTGGAGCCAGGTGAGTCAGCGGCCCCCAGCTCTTGCTCTGGAGGGGCGTGGGCTCCCAGGGGGACGTGGAGCAAGGGGCAGGGCCTATGTGTGACACGATGCAAGGCCGGCCAGCTGAGAAGTGTCCTCACGTGCAGTCCACCCTCTCAGGCGGTGCTTCTCTAATATCAGAAACCTGTTTTTCTTTTATTTATTTATTTATTTTATTATTATTATTATTTTGCGGTGCGCGGGCCTCTCACTGCTGTGGCCTCTCCCATTGCGGAGCACAGGCTCCAGACGCGCAGGCTCAGCGGCCATGGCTCACGGGCCCAGCCCTTGCTAGGTACGGTGTGTTTTGTAAGGGAGGGACAAACATGCCACAGCATTTCTAACTATCCCACGGATCCACTAAACTCAGAGCTGGTGGACGGGCCAGCCCTGTGCCTTGCTCAGTGGGCATCAGGAAGGAGAACCACGATGGTAAAACCGGTAAAGGCTTTCTCCATAAACCCCGCCAGGGACACGAAAATGAAGCCAGCTGGAAGTGACTTGTCCCCGATCGAATCCTTTTCAAGGGGAGTTGTGACGGGTACAGAAAATCCACACGTCCATTCAGCACCCACCTGGTGGGGCTGTAATTGTCTATAAAGACATGGAGATAAAGATGCTTATTAGCAGTTAGCATTAAGTGAAAGTGAAGGGCTTTCTTTTTTTTTTTTTTTTTTGCTGTACGCGGGCCTCTCACTGTTGTGGCCTCTCCCGTTGCGGAGCACAGGCTCCGGGCGCGCAGGCTCAGCGGCCACGGCTCACGGGCCCAGCCGCTCCGCGGCATGTGGGATCCTCCCGGACCGGGGCACGAACCCGTATCCCCTGCATTGGCAGGCGGACTCTCAACCACTGCGCCACCAGGGAAGCCCTGAAGGGCTTTCTTAGTTATGCCTGCAGTGAGTTACTTTTAGAATGTTACCAGTTCGGAAAAAGCCTGTCCAGACATCCTGAGTTTCAAGAACGAAGGAGACATCTGAGCAGAGGCTATTTCTAAAGGCGACGCCCGCCTGCCAGCGCCAAACTGAGCGCCCGACAGGAGCCCAGCGCCTGACACCTGCCCCCAACGCACACCTCCTTTTGCCTCCCGGCCCTAGCATTGCCCCTAGAGGCCGTGAGCATCAGCTCCACGAAGACATGACCAGAACAGCCTTCCGAAGCACCGTGTCCTGTGTGTGGAGCGGTGCTTGGCACGTAGTGGTCACTGAAAAAGCGTCTGTGACGTTGATAATAAGAAGGTGAACTCTTTGCACAAGTGAATTCAGAGTGACAGCCACCGCCTTGGGCATTGCCCTTTGGTTGTCACTTCTTTCCAAGCCACCCGCAACAGGACCAGACCCCTCTGGCGAATGCTGGGCCAGCAGGAAACGGCCAGGAGCCCACGGAGGATCAGCTGTCTGGATGGTCTCCGAGGTCAACTCACAGGGCAGGCACTGCCTTATGGAGGGGCCGTGGTGTCCCTGTGTCTCACATCCTATAAGTATAAACCCATGCCCCATCGCCAGTAAACTTTTATGTAACAGCAATCAAAATGTGCACATTCCATCGTTTCTGGGTAATCACTTTTTTGTTGTTTGTTTGTTTGTTTTTTGCGGTACGCGGGCCTCTCACTGTTGCGGCCTCTCCCGTTGCGGAGCACAGGCTCCGGACACGCAGGCTCAGCGGCCATGGCTCACGGGCCCGCCGCTCCGCGGCATGTGGGATATTCCCGGACCGGGGCACGAACCCGTGTCCCCTGCATCGGCAGGCGGACTCTCAACCACTGCGCCACCAGGGAAGCCCTGGGTAATCACTTTTGATGCAAATTTTATTGAAGTATAGAATACACAGAGGAAAGCGCACATGTCTTAAGTGTACACGCAGCTCAATTCACGCCCCCAGACAGAACCACCATGGAGCCAGCGCCCGGACCAAGAAGCAGGGCGCACAGAGACTGTGGAGGCCCCTCAGGTCCCCTGCCATCAGGTCAGTGCCTAACTGCTTTTGAATCTTAAATAGAACCCCTAGGGCGTTGATTTTTAATCAG